AAAGTAACATTCAGTCCAGCCTCCATCAAGATAAGTAAATATGAAGAGTCACTGAGTAAATCGGAGAAAAGATGGCAAAGTCAAACTATGAACCACCTTTGAACACTCACCACATCGTTGGTAATTCACAGTGAGTGGTTTCAGCTTTGTGGACTGTTCTTATAAAACTACTTCATCCTCCATGGTCTCGGTCACTCCGCGAACACAGAGGACTCAGAAATATATGGGCATGGCTTTTTTTAGTTTTACGATTGCTGAATGCCAAAATGAGTCATCGAGAACCTGTTTCAAAACCGGCCAATGACAATAAAGCCAGTTGTTTACGCATTTACCGTAATCTCCAGTAAATTATCCCCGAACTTAAACCAATTCTTTTAACCCATTAAACCTCATACACTAAAACCAGGACTATCAGTCTATTTTTCTGAACTGATGACGGCCTGAGATTGAGTTTTAAAATAGTATCCAAGTGAGTGCACACAAATAGAAAAACATACTCCTGATCTGGATCAAATTAAACACTATTATCTGGGTCTGTGGGGGAATGCGACCATCTGTTGCTGTGAGGTGGATTAAATTAATAAAACCTGACAATGCCATCCTGGAAATTTCCCCCAGGAAATATGTAAGATTTTTTTTAAATGTAGCCGACACAATTACAATGTCCACAACAGAAGTGGAAGAAAGCAAAGACAGCTGAAAGTGCTGGGCCTTTGCCTGCTGTGTGTTGTGGATCCATTGGTTTTTGGTTCCTTTCACTGCCACGTGTCACTGGGGTTACCCTTGTTTAGCATTTTTTGGGGGTTCCTTTTCCCCTCTTAACCCAGATCCAGCATCAGAAAGATGCAGCACTGAAGAAGCTTCCTGTCCCTTTATCCCTATGCCAGTGCCATGAATAAGGCAGTTTTGAACGTAAATAAGAATTCATTTGAAATACTTGGAATCCTAATCAGTTCATCACACTGAGGAAACTATATTGAATCAGCTATTAACAGAAACTTAAAGCCAGTGCATGTAACACAAATCAGAGACAAAATCGTCATAGTTGAATTTATTTTTACTGCAAATGACAAAGATAAATAACCATCACAGTGTACAGCTGCTGAGAAACAATTACTGTGTATATTCAATCACTTTTGCAAGCTAATCCCCTTTTATGAAATAATGTAAATAGTCATGTTTTCAAATCTGTCATAGCACATAAATGTCGGCAGTATAAGCTCTAAACTGCCAAAAGCATAAAAATGGAAACTGAGAGAAACAAGCTGATGAAGATATGATCTACCTTTCAGATAAGAGGTCGATCAAAGGCTTTGGAAGAGATGCCGTGCTGTAAAGAGAGTTCAGTAACAATAAAAGTTACAGTTCAGTAACAAAGCTGCAATAAAAATGTACATGGGCTCATGAATGCTTTTCTTAAACACAACCAGAAACACAATAATGAAATTACAGCAGTGTATAAGGATGTAAACTGGAACCAGGATGACAAAATACAGATACCTGAATTTATGCAGCCTCACAAATGCATCAAAAGTGACTTGACTTGAAAAGTTATAAATGTAACATTCAGTTGGGCCTCCATCGAGCTTCAGGAACAAATGATCTGATAATGAATTAATATGGAGCACAAAAAACAGGGACTTTTAAAAAATAGAAAACCAAATAAGTGCTTGACTTGCAGAATGTGTTCACCTGATATTTGTACAAAAAAAAAGGCTTTCTGATTTAATACTGATTCTAACTGAAATTATCATGAAAACAGAGAAACAGCAATAAAGGCAAAAAATGCTCGGCATTTACAGGTTTTTGGGTTTTGTTGCTGCTTCCCATGCAGCAACAAAAGTGCATCGGTTACAAAATATGCATAATTTTTATTGCATAATCTTATTGCAGGAATCTCAGTCCAGAAGAGATTCAGTCCTGAGTCCCTCTTAAGCCAAAGGTCATGCTATGCAAAAGATTTAAGTAATTTCTCATTATGTTACATGACATAACCTCAGAGAGTCAGGAGAATGATTTATTTGAACTCAATCAATAAGTACATTTTGAGATTTCAGTCTTTAAAAATTTGCTAATTTTGTAATTGCAAAGCAGCTTTTTGATCTGTTTGGAAATTTCTTTCATTTTCAGCCCGTATATGACTGGATTGAAGAGGGGGTTGTACGTTATGATTTGTAAACTCATTACAAATTTGACAGTCTTTGATAAATCAGATTGCATTGAAACAACAATGACATCAGATGCGACCAAACTTAAAAAGCTGATTAAAACCAACAAATGAGGCAAACAGGTCTGTGCAGCTTTTCTTCTGACCTCTTTACAACTGTGATATGATATTATCATTATCCTGGTGTATGAAAAACATATTAATATAACAGGGAGAAGAGCTACATTAATCAGTATGATCATAGTTAGGACATCTATAGCTACTGCACGTGCACAGAGAATATTGTAAAGTTGGCTATTACAAAAGATCCCCTCAAGGGTAATACCACAGATTTGTTTGTAGAAAATCAGGACAACAAACTCAAAGCTACCCATGTAAAAAAAAGGTGTACCCCAAGCTAAAGCCAAGAGGATACTCACAGTTCTTTTGGTCATGATCGTTGGATATTGCAGAGGTTTGCATATAGACACGTATCTGTCAAAGGACATGACTGTGAGCAGTAAAAATTCTGAACTACCAAAAGAATAAAACATGAAACTTTGAATGAAACAAGCTAAAAGAGGCACAGTCCTCCTTTCAGATAACAGGTCAATCAAAAGCTTTGGGAAGACAACCGTGCTGAAAAGAGCAGAGTTCAGTAACAAAGCTGCAATAAAAATGTA